AGGAGATTTTGGATCTGGGCCTTAAGGATAAACAGCTCACTGACCAGACAGGGGGTCATTGGGGTGTAGAGGAGGATGCACCAGGCAGAGACAGCAACACTTGCAAAAGCCACGAGGTGCAAAAGTGCGTTTGCAAATAGAGCCACGCAGGAACTCTTCAGTTTTACTCAGATGCTGGTTGATGTAGACCTTCCCTGCACCTCATCTGGCTTCAGCCTCTGCAAAAAAAAACCTGGACCTCATGCGCCACCTGGTGGTGGTCTTAGATACTAACAGGACAGAAACAACTGGAGTCCAAGCTGCTCACATCCCTCTCCCTTGAACCGTTCCTTCCTAAGTCTTTCCCCAGAAATGGACTTGCTGTAAAAGTGATAGAACAATCAGAGGACATTTTTTTAATTTAAAAATTCTATTTTTTCCAGTTATCAAAACAATGCATGTTAATTGCAGAAAATTTGGAAAATATAGAAAAGAATAGGGGCGCTGGGTGGCTCAGTGGGTTAAGCAGCCAACTCTTGATCTCAGCTCAAGTCTTGATCTCAGGGTCGTGAATTCAAGCCCTGCGTTTGGGCTCCACACCGGGCATGGAGTATACTTAAAAAAAAGAAAAGAAAATATAGAAAAGATTAAAGAAGAAAATCAGTCATCCTAATTCCACTACCCAGAATAACCACTATTAATATATTGGCATATTTGCTTCCAGTGTTCTTCTCTGCATATAATTTTCACATAGCTCAGGATTAGTGTGTATATATATTTACGTATAAATACATAGACATACATATGGGCTCAGTTATGTATAAACATATGTTGAGTATGTTTTTAGCTTTTATTTTTAAAATTTTTTTAGTTTTTGGTTTTACAACTTTTTTAAAGTTTAATTCCAGTATAATTAACATATAGTCTTATATTAGTTTCAGGTGTACAATACAGTGATTCAGCAGTTCCTTACATTACTGAGTGCTCATCATGATCAGTGTTCTCTTCATCCCCTTCACCTACTTCACCACCACTCCCCAACCTCCCCTCTGGTAACCATCTGTTTGTTCTCTATAGTTAAGACTCTGTTTTTTGGTTCATCTCTCTTTTTTTTTTTCCTTCTTTTCCATATGTTGAGTATTTTTATGCACAAAGTCCTGGTGTGGGGGTGAGTGTGGGTGTTGGGAGCTGGGTGCTAATGTCACGCCATGCTGAGTTGGAACCCTTTCCTGGCCATGTGACTTGGGCAAGTGACTTCTCAGGGTAACAGTTTCTCTCTGTATCTGTAAAATGTGATTCGTAACAGGACTTATCCCAGGGCTGTTGTTTAGATTACAGGATGAGGTGTATGTAAAATGCTTAGGTCAGAGCCTGGGGCTGAGAGGTTTGCTCCTGGTAATACATCACCATGGAAAGCTGCGTCTGCCTTTCCGATTCATGGCATAAGTCTCTAGAAATGGGATGGTTTTCTGGGTCTAAGGATATGAAGAGCCCCAAGGTTGATACAGTGTACCCAAATTGCGAGGCAAATTTCAGCCAAGATCCACAGCTGTTCTCCTTTGTCTCTGTATTCTTCCAGGCCCTGTTTATGCAGAACAGTGTCTCAGCATTGTCATTGCAATGCTTGCCCCCGTTTGCTTAATGTTACATCATCAACAGTTTCCTAAGCGGCTAGAGTTGTCATTGACAGCATTTGCCACCATTTGCTTCATTACTTCTTTATTGTTGAATATCTGAGTTTTCTTTTCCATTCATTCATTCATTCATTCATTCATTCATTCATTCAAGAAACAGTTCTGCCAGGCACCGAACTAGGCCTTGGGATCGAGTGGTCAGCAAGAACAGCACGCTCCTTACTTCTGGCACTTGGACTCTGGCCAGCAAGACAGACCACTGCAAATAAACAGACAGGCGAGACTCCCACTCTAAGCTGTAGTGAGTGCTGTGAAGGAAAAGGAGAGAACTATGGGAGGGATCCACTTTTTGACACATTTTCCTATTTTCGAGAAGTCGTCCCAGGCCCTCATTCTAACCTGCTGTTTGCTCCTCAGCCGGCTTCTCTTTGAGGAGTCCCGTTTGGGGTTGGATTTTCCACTAACACAGTTCCCTGAGGAGTCAGAGCTCACGGAAGTGTTCAAAGATCTGACAATGAAATCAAATGGGCCTTCTTTCCTGTTCTCCCTCCCTCTAAGGCTAGTGTTTCAACCAGTGTGGTCCCAAAGAGACTTACGATTATCCACTTCTTAAATCTACTTGCACTGTGCCTTTTCCTCACCTCTCTCTCATTGTAGGACCTCCACTAGCCCCGGGAGCCTATGAACCAATTGGCAAAGGTGCCCCCTTCCAGTGGACAAAGCCTCAGTGGCTGAGGCTTGGTTGGCAGAGCACAAGTTGGATTTCAGCCCTTTTGAGGCCCCTTGGGTATGTGCATGACAGCACATGGCAGCCCTGCCCACAGCCTCTGGAATGACCACCCCAGCTACTTTCTATCTATCTGATTGTCACTCCATCTTGAAGACTTAGTTTATATTCCATCTCTTATAGGAAGTCTTATCTAGCTTTCTAATTTACAGTAAATTCTCCATTCCTTGAACTCCTACCTAAGTAATTTTTTTTACTCCTTGCCTTATTTGGCACTTAATTGTACCCTGCCTGTAATTCCTCCTGTTTTTCTCTCTTGCATCGCTATTTCATCCGAAGAGGGCTGATTTAGATTGAGAAATTGGAGGTATCTCTGTAGATGTATCATCTACACTAAATGCTGAAGGAGAGGTAGGCAGAGTTCTAGAGAAAGAGTGTTCTAGGCAGAGGAAGGGCATGTGCAAAGGCCCTGAGGCAGATTTTTGAGATGCAAGGCCAAATGAATATGACTATATCTGCATGGAATGGTCTTTCCAGATTTGGCAAATGAAGTGAAAAGCAACTATTAAAGTATGCATTCACACTACTTTCTGAGGACCTCTTTGTTCTGGCCCCTGGAAATGACATATAGAGATAAATCAGACCAGACATGTTCCTTCTCAGACTACTGGAGGGGGCTAAGATGATTCTATACAGTGTGACAGACATGGTAGAGGGTTATCACGTATGTCAGTAGAAGGGTAGAGAGAGTTAACTATTTGCTTGTGGGCACTGAGGAAAGCTTATCCAAGATGGAGACATCTGAGTGAGGTCCAATGTAGGGCAACCCATGAGGAGGCTGGTGCAATGGTCCAGGCTGACGGCTGAATTGGGACAACGATAATGAGGATGGACAAGAGAGGGAAGATGAGAGAGACATTTCAGTGAAAAATGTATACGACTTGGAGATGGATTTAGGAGGCTGGGGAAAGGAATAAGTTAAGGCGCTGCAACTTTCAAGCATGGATGACTGAATAAAGGCAGTACCCCTCGATAAGACCAGGGATGGAGGAGGAGAGACAGGATTTGGTGGGGTAAGTAGGGTGGTGTAAAGAGATTGGGGGGTGGTGAGGGCTTCTCTTTGGTACCACGGACAGCTGCACGGATCTCCAAAGGCCTTGACATAGATTAGATCAATGGTTCTTGACACTGGGTGCCTTCGAATCAGCAGAGGAGCTAATTTAACATACAGACCCCCAGTCCCACCCAAATATTCTGCATCAAAATCTCTGGGGTTGGGGTTCAGGAACCTGCATTCTAAATAAGCACCCAGATAACTCAGGTACAGGCAGTCACATGAGTATACTTAAACCCTGAAATAAACCACGGTGGCCTCCAGAGAAAGAGATGAGAGCGCCCTCTGCCTGCTAAAAGGATGTTTGGGCCTCTTGAGTTTATGACTGGTGCATTTCAAGGCAGTTTATTTACACAGGGAATCCCCGGGCCAAAACAAAGACAAGAGACCAGGGGAGATGAGTGAGAAAGAGGGGCCACTGGTGTGCAGTTACGGTTACTGTCTTCAGTCTGGGGTGAAGTTGGTGAAGGTGAAGTTACACCTTCCCAACTGCATTCCCTAAAAAAAACCCCCAAACAAACAAACAAAAACAAACAAATGTGGCTCCCTAAGGTGAGAGGGGAGAACGCTCTCCTTGGATTGGCTTTAAAGATATATTGCAACCCAAAAGAAATTAAAGCAGGGACTTGAAAAGGTATCTGTGCACCCATGCTCCTCGCAGCATTAATCTCAATAGCCAACAGGTGGAAGCAATCCAAATGTCTACTGACAGGTGAATGGGTACAGACAATGTGGTAGATTCATGCAGCAAAACATTATCCAGTCTTAGAAAGGAATGACATTCTGAGATATGCTACAACATGGATGGACCGTGAAGGCATTATGCTGAGTGAAATTCGCTAGACACAGAGGGACAAATATTGTATGATTCCACTTGTATGTAATGAGGTCCCTGGAGGAGTCAAATTCATAGAGAGGAAGTAGAAGCGTGGTTGCCAGGAGCTGGGGGGAGGGAGGCTGGGGAGTTATGGTTTAATGAGTACAGAGTTTCACTTTGAGAAGATGGAAGTTCCAGAAATGGATGTTGGTGATGGTTTTTACAAAATAATGCGAATGCACTTAATGCCTTTGAACTGCACACCTAAAAGAAGTTACAATGGTAACTTTTGTGTTTATTTTACCACACACACACACACACACAAGACATAATAAGAAAAGCGGTGTTAATGCCCTCAACTTGACTGGGAATGCGTAGGGCTTCTCCACCCCATGGGGCGTTCTCTGAGAGCAGGGAAAGATGTCTCCCTTCTCCGTCTGGGGCTCTCCCGGGACCAGCAGGTGTTTCTTTCAGCGGATAGCTGCTCCCCCAGGGCCTGGACTGGGCCTGTTCCTCGTCAGACTGAGGTGCTTCCCGATGGTGCAGTTCCCTCCACGGGGCGAGGTTCTGTCTCCTCCTTCCGAGGGAGTTATTCTAGCAACTGTGTATGGGAGGTGGGGGAAAGTGGGCCTCTGTTTGAGATTTTGGTCCGTCCTCCGCAGCCCCCGGGCTCAGGAGCCGCACAAGCGCCCAACACCTTCGTAACCTCCATCTCATCTTCTGCCTCTCCCAAGTTCTGCGCCCTCGGAAGGCCCGTGCCGTCTCCCGGGCGGGCGGGCCCAGGCGGCTTTCCGCCCTCTTCCAAGATGGCCGCCGCCGCTTCTGTGACAGGCCTGATCACGTGGGCGCCGTCGCCTATGAGGTGGCCGCGGCTCCGGCGGCGATTGTCCCTTCCCGGGCCCCGTCCCGAGGAGGCGACTGCCCTTGTCAACCGAAGCCTGAGCGATCATGGCAACGGGCTCGGGCGGGGAGCGCGTGGCCGCGGCGGCAGTTTGGTCGCGGGCCGGGGCGGCGGAGCGGCGGCGGCGGCGGCGGCGGCACTGGCGCTGGCACCGGCCCTGAGCGCCATGCAGCGGGGCAGCTCCGAGAGGGAGCTGGCGGCCGGGTGGGAGGCGGAGGCGGTGGCGGTGGCCGAAGCGCCGGCGGCGGCGGCGGAGCAGGGCGGCGTGGACTCGGGCGCGGCCGGGGAGCCGGAGCGCGAGGCGCCGGAGGAGCGGCCCAGGGAGGGGGCCCCGGCGCAGCCCCGCGCGGCCGAGGAGGGGGACGCCCGCGTCGTCCCGCGGCCGCTGCCCTCGCTGCCCCTGGCCAAGCCGCAGCCGGCGCGGGCGCGGGGCCTCTGTCCGCACCGGAAGCCCCGGAGCAAGGGCCGGGGCTGCCGGCGGAGCTCGGGCCGCTCGGCGGACGAGTACTGCTCCCAGCGGCCGGTCACCGTGGACAGCTCCAAGGCCAGGACCTCCCTGGACGCCCTGAAGATCAGCATCCGCCAGCTCAAGTGGAAGGAGGTGAGGCCCGGCCCGGCCGCGTGGGCACGGCGGGAGGGTGGACAGTTCGACCTCAGAGGACCCGGCGGCCCAGGCCAGGGCTGAGGGCGGAGCTCCTGCCGAGCGCCGCGCTCCGGGTGCTCATCCTTCGAGGCCCAGCCCCCAAAGTCCCTTCCTCCAGAAGGCTTTCAGCCCGCTCCTGGTCAGGTCGGCCGACTCCTTCCCCGGGCTCCCCTACGCTACGGCCCTGGCTTCTAGCCCTCAGCGCTCCCCTGCGTTGTAGATCTTAGCTTTTATGCCTGTCCCCTCCCCCAGCTTTGGGCCCTCGGGGCCCGGGACCCTCTCTTTCACTTCTTCATTTAAGTTCTCTTCGTTCAGCACTTACTGTGTGGCAGTTGAACAGTTGGTACTTTGGAGGCAGACAGACTTAGGGTCTCACCACACCCTGCCACTTAGCTCTGTGACTTTGAGCAAGTTGCTTCACCTCTTAAGCCTGTTTCCTTTCTGTGAAGTGAAGCTAATAATACCTGTCTCGTATTAGTATTAGAAGACTCACTGCTTATTGTGGCATAGCACAAGTGTGCAATAAATGGTAACATCCTACCACCCTCACCTCTCTCTCCTCCTCCATCACTGTCACCACCACCATCATCATCATCAGGGCAGGAACTGTATTTTACATTCTAGGACTTGGCATATGGTGCGTGTCAGTAAGTGGTGGATGCAAGGGCGAGTGAAGGAATGGGTTATTCATCCCTGGACCCATTTTAGACCTGGTGGGGGCAGGGATGCAGCACTAGGGACACAGAGGGGTGCCTGTTGCAGCTGGCTGACTGCATAAAGCCATTTGACTTTCTTTTCAGCTTCTAAGGCTACTTAACAGGGTTCCAGGAGTGGTGGGGTTGTGATTTAAGGGAGTCAGGTCTGGAGACTTAGACTCAGATGGTCTGCTGATGGAACAGGAGTCCACAACAGGCAACACGAAGATTCAGGTACTTAGCTCTGTCTTTGCTTATGGCAGACATTCAGGAATGGTTTTATGAAGTTGGAACACACAGAGAGATGGCCACAGAAAGAATTGATGAGGTCAGAAGGTTGATGTCCCAAGAGGAAGGAGTCATGTAGTTTGGAGGGAAGTCAAGAATCAAGCAGGGCAGACTTCCAGGTAGGTAGGGGTTAGCCATTGGGGAAGTCTCACTCCCCATTCTCCACTCCCTGGGTGTCAGGGTCCCCAGGCTTGGGGCTTGGGATTCAGAGGAGGACTTCTATGCCTAGGATACCTGGGAGGAGGGCTCCCAGTTCTGGGCAGGGTCCCAGGTCTGGGCCAGAGATATGAGGGCCAAAACATCATAGAATTGGAGAACTTGTCAGTGCCATGGTCCTAATGAGAATCCAGGGACTGAAACCAGGCCCAGAACCAGGCGAGGATGACTGGCCCAAGGAGGGCCTGTGCTTAGCTTAGCCCCGTGGGAGAGAGCGACACAAAGCTGACTAGATCTTGAGAGATGGAGCCAGAAGGACTCAGAAACCAGCAGGCATGCATGCCAGGTTCATGCACTCAGTCTGTGAGCGTTTGCTGTGGATGCTGGACCCTGGGAATCAAAGATGCTTAAGACGTAACCTCTGCCCTCAAGGACCTTATATAGTTCAGTAGGGAAAAAACACAAGTAAAAAAAAAAAATCATTGCAGTGATTATAGGATCTTTACTGCTGCTTCCTGAAATGCTCTTTTCCCAGTTATTTGCATGGCTCACTCTGTCACTTTTGCTCTTTGAGCAGACGCCACCTCCTCAGAGAAGCCTTCCCCTGTGATCCCTCCTCCAACCCTTGCTCTTCTTTATTATCTTTTTTATAGCGCTAAACTCTACTCGACACTATATTATGTATTGTTTGTTTATTACCTGTTTCCCTCATTAGAATGTAAGCTCCACGAGGGCAAGGGCTTTGTTTTATTTACTGCTGTATCCTCAGGTGCTTGGTACATAGAAGGTGTTCAATAAATACTTGTTAAATGGATGAACACATTATGTGATGTGTGTCTCCCTGTCCCTATGTAAAGGTGTAAGTGCTGGGGGAGAAGAGGAAGGCCATCTCAAGAAGAGTTTCCTGGAGGAGAGAGGTATAAACTGAGTTCTGAGTGTTGAAGAGGAGTGGGAGTTATTTAGGGGCTGTCGACTTTGGATCTCTGGTAGAGGGCGTAGTATGGGCATAGAGGTACCTTTGGGGCTTTGCATGTAGTTCAGTATGGCTGGATATGAGTGGGCGGCAGGATGGTGGTGAGGGGAGGCTGGGGAAATGAGCAGGGGTCAGATGGGGGATGTGGACTTGTTTTTGGGAGGCTGAGTGAGCCACTAAAAGAGTTTAAGGTTCTTCCATGTATCGACTCTGCTTGTTTGGCAAGTGAGTTAAACTCTTTAGGCTTCTTCGTCTGCCTGTCTATCAAATGGGGGTAGATTGGGCTAGCTAGTTTAATGGTTCTCCCGTGGCAGCCACATAATGGTAATGTTAGTCTACACGAGGCCCTTGCACTGGTGAACAGTGTAGGGGGCAGTTTCCAGGCATTACCTGTAACTGCCCCCTCCACCCCAGTCCTGCCTTTTACTTCTTGGTCAGAAAGCATATTGGCCTGCAAGTGGAGTTGCTCCTTCTGGTATATTTTAAAACAAATTCACTCACCTCAGTAGGACTTTACTATTAGATGTGTGATTATTCACTTAATGTCACTCTTCCCTATGAGTCTATGAGGTCCTGGTCCTCCTGTGAGGGCGGGAGTGGTGTTTGACTTGGGGCACATATTCACCAAATGATGATACTTGCCACAGAGCTCACACTTCATCTTGATACCCTAGAATGTGGACTTTCAAAAGTACTGGAGTGGGTAAACTTTAAGTTCCTTCCAGCTTTAAGCTATGATTATGGTATTTTTAGTACCTACTCTAAAGTTGATTGCATGACAAGTAACTTATAAAGCAGGTACCAACAAAGTGCAGGGGTGGGTGGGTAGCCCAGGTAAGAAATAAGGTCATGAACACCAACCAGGGTAAAAGTCTTTCCTTTGTGAGTGCATAGTGAGGGGCCACACCACAGGGTCCATTGAGCAAGGCAGCATGTAGCCAGCATGTGAATTTAACATTTGCTCGGTTACAGGTCACGGTCTCTCTTCCTCCTTCACTTTTCTTTATTACACATACATTTAACGACAATGATTGTGAATGTCAGCAGCTGTGATGAATGCTTACATAACTCTTACCCTGTGTATGTAGCTGCAGTGATTTGATTTTCCCAACAGCCCAGTAAAGTGCCTCATTGTCTCCATTTTACGGAAGAGGAAATTGAAGTACACAGAGGTTAACTTCTCCAAGGTCATGCGGCTGGTAATTGGCGGAGCTAGCATTTGAAACAGACTCTCTGTTTGAAACCAGCCTTCAGTTCTGGGCTCTTAACTGTTTCTTACTGGATCTCTATCTGCAGACCCTGGGGTGGAGTTACAGATCTGGATGTGAATGGGATTCACTCCCTGCCCTCCAGCAGCTCCCAGTGTGAGGGACAGACGTGCACACAATGGCAGTCCAATCTGGGTGCTGAATGGGTGAAGGCCATTCCACACAGAATAGGAACAAAGGCAGGGAGCATGGATCAGCTTTTGTATGCAGAATGGGACGATGGCAGCATAGGGAGCATGTGGGAGAGCAGGAGAGATGAAGAAGGAGCCAGATCACGGAGGATGTTGGAGGCCACGCAGAGAAGCTTGCGCTTCTGTCTGAATATGACAGGATCTTGCCATATATAGACTCAGCTTCTCTTGCCCACTCTCTCAGCCCCAGGTGAACCACGCCAACTCTCTGATGATTCTCTTTTCAGTTCTCTCCACGCTGGTCAGATCTAATCCACTTGTGTCTACAAAGTTAAATTTGCCTCTCAAAGGAAAATTCACAAATGTTAGCTCTGTGAACTTAATAGATAAGGTGAAAGTTTATTTTAGAATAGCCAGATCAGGTTTATGGAGTCACTATTGAAGTTGCCACATGAAAGAGAGGGATGGTTCCTGGCTCCTAGTAGATACTCAGTAAATATTTGTGGACTTGTATGGTCCTCTTTCAACTGTGTAAGTCCTGTATATTCTTTTGCAGTTTTGACACCAGCAGTAATGAAACCTTAGGGAAAAGACACCAAGGAGAATAGATGCCACTATTGTTATGAGCTGCCCTCCTTGGAGATGTAGGTTCTGTATACATGCTCAGTGGTGCTGTGGACACCAGCTAGCTGACGTGAACGAGGGCACTGAGAGATTCCATAGAAGGACGTTTGTTGATAATAGCTTGCATAAGCCCCTGCCCCAAGATCTATTACAGTGAGAGCTCTTTGTTTCAGAGACTCCAAATCATGGGTTGTTTTCTGAACTTTATCCAGCCTTCTTTAGAATATGTATACACTTATTATATTGTCCTATTTATAACTTATATAATATTAGTTACTGCTTATTAAATATCTGCTTTGTGCCAGGCATTGTACTTAGTGTTTTATGCTTATTAAAAATTATATCAGGGCGCCTGGGTGGCTCAGTTGGTTAAGCGACTGCCTTCGGCTCAGGTCATGATCCTGGAGTCCCAGGATCGAGTCCCGCATCAGGCTCCCTGCTCAGCGGGGGGTTTGCTTCTCCCTCTGCCCTCTTCCCTCTCGTGCTCTCTGTCTCTCATTCTCTCTCTCTCAAATAAATAAATAAAATCTTTAAAAACAAATTATATCAGACATTTACTATGGATTGTTTTATGTAATCCTCACAGCAAGCCCCTGAAGTAGATGCTATTATCATTTCCAAATTACAGATGAGGAAACTGAGGCTTAGGGAGAGGTTGGTGCAGGGCTAGCCCAAGTCCACAGGTAACAAGTGGCAAAACCATCCAGGGCCTGTGCCTGGAACCAGCGTATAGTCCTATACTGTCTTCTTTGCTAATCCTTTGCTAAAATCCACCCTGCCAGGAGTTACTCTATTATTCTTAGTCCCAGATAATGCTTGAAGA